CAGCAGGCCCGTGGGGTTGCGGGAAGTCACCAGGACACAAACAGGTGTTTTTTTGGCAGAGACAAATGTAGGTTTTGTATGAACGGAGTGTGTGTGGGATACCTCTTAACAGAGAGAAATACAAAGGTAGAAATATACAATCAGGTCGACGCCTTGGATAGAAGACACTCACAAGGAAGGGAAGGGCTCAGAAGGATTACAGTAAATCTGCCTCGGTTTCCCTCTTTCTCCTTGCCTGTTCCTGTCCTCTGTGAAGTTAGGCAAGGCCATGTGACTTGCCATGGCCAATGGGATGTGAATAAACTTCACGGTGTCCCCTCCAAGAGGAAGTTTTGCGGGTCAGCAGGTGCCTCCCATTCTTCTCCCTGCCCTGGCGTTCACGGTCCCCGGAGCCTCCTTACCCCCGAGACTCTGAGGGGCCACAACGATCAGAGCTCCTCCTCTCTACCCACCCTGTGTCCCCCAAACCTGCCTGTAAACATGGAGTGTGAGTGTAAAATGAGCTTTTGTTCTATTCATTCACTAAGATCTTGCTGATTTTTTTTAATTCACAATTTTTTTTTAACCCAACTGACCTGGGTAGGTGCTGTTATTGTCCCCATTTTCCAGATGAAAAATCGAGGCACAGGGAGCTTTAGAAACTTACGGTCTCATGGCTCTTTCATGGTGGGCCTGGGCTACCAGACTGTGTGTCCCAGTTCCCCAGGGACGTGGCAGAACAGTGGGGACCTTTTGTAAACTAGACACTCGTCCCACCTCAAGGCAGCCACTCAGCTCCGGCAGATGGCCGTCACCTGGAACATGCGGGTTTGAGCAGGATGTGGCTGAGCACCACTGTGCCCAGAGAGAAGGGCTTTCACGGGGCAGGGCCTCCCCGGAGGCTGGAGCTCTGCCTGGGCCCTCGGGTGAGGCCACGCTGTCTCCATTTGCCTGGTCTCCCCTTGGGCCGTAAGTCCATGGGGCTGAGCTCGTCCTTGGAGAGCCAGAGCCATGGAGAAGGTTATGACTCCGAAGTAGTTAGTGCCTGGATCATTGGACCCCCTGCGTCACCTCAGACATTCCCACAGCGTGGAGAGGGGTGCGAACACCCGAGAGGGTGCAGGCCACCTGTGGAAGTGGGCAAGGCGTTCGGGAAATCGAGGTACCCCAGGAAACGGAGGCCCTTTGCTGCAGCGCTTCTCAGGGCCTTTCATAGGCCACACCCACCGGGCAGCTCCTGGTTGTGGGATCTTTTTTTTTTTCCTTCTCTTTTCCAGAATCTCTTGGGAAAGAATGTACTAGAGAAAATTCCTGGAGACAGTCTGGCTAATTTGTGGCTTCCCTCTTCACCTCTCAACACCCTCGATCGTTTCTTGACAGCTTTCTTTCACAATGGCAGTTTTCTCTTAACCAGGAAACGTTTCATTTCTACTTAGGCATTGGTTAAAAAAAAAATTAGGTGGTCCGGTGGAGACCTGGGGACGTCACTGTCTGTCCCCGGGACCGAGTGTCCGCGGGCTCCCTAGGGTGGGTGCTGGCTCTTCCTCTGTTCTCCACTCGGAGAGCCTTTCACTGTGGAGATTCCCAGCCCTGGGCGGGGGCAGGGGTCACTTTAAGGCCCAGAGACAAAGGCCCTTGGGAGGTGCCAGCCTTCTAAAGGAAGCCCTGCCTCGGCCTGGGGGCATGAGCTGGGGGAGGAGGGCAAGGGAGGGGAGGAGAGAAGCCCCTGAGTGGCTGACCAGAGGGCCCCTTTTACGGCCTTCCTGTTTATGGCGGAGAAGTAAACAGCTGGGGAGCCGGGTCGTCTCCAGCAGCAGCTGCGGACGCAAGCTGGCCTGAGACCCTGTCTCTCTGGGTGGCAGTGGGCGGGGAACCTGCCAGTCACGCTAGTCTCAGGGGGATTTCTTTTTAAACAGAATCTCGGGGTGCTTTTCCTTTACCTCACGCCATCTGCTTCTCCCCCACCCGCATGGCTGCTCCTTTTGGGGGTACGGGGGGTGGAATCGGCATGTGTGGGCTTGGGGTTCAGGTCCCGGCTGTGGCACTTAACAGCTGTGTGGCTTCAGCAGAGCGCTGTGCCTCTCTGGGCCTCGTGTGCAGCGATGGACAGGAGGGATCTGAGAGGCGGTGGAGCGGGGCCGTGAATGGCACCCCCAACTTGCCTGGCATGTGGTAAGTGTCAGTCCGTGTTTACTGGTATGATTACTATTTCAACGGTGCTCCTGCGGACACCCCCGGGCCCGCCTCGGTGGAGGGCTGTCGCGGGGTGGGGGGCACGCCCACCTCTGAGAGAGTCCCTGGCCTTGGTCTAGCAGCGGCTCCCCCTCTGTCTCCGGACAGGGCCTGGAGCACTTTGCAGGCCGTGATGGACGAGGAGGTGCCCAGACTAAGATGAAGAGCGTGGGCTGGGGGCAGCAAACACAGGGAGATCAATAAACTATAATTATCAGGAATGGTGTCTGCGGGAAGTAGGGAGTCCTGCAGACAGAGAGAGATGGAGGAGGGGGTGAGAGATGCCCGGGTGAAGAGGCAGCAAGGGCGAGACTGATGGATGCAGACCGAGTGCACGCCCCGGGAAGCAAGAACTGTAAGTGTGACCGCGGGGGTGGGCGGCCTCGGTGGGCATCTGGGCGGGAGCGGGTGTGGGAGGCGCGCACCTGTTTTAACCAGCACCGATGCCCGGGGCTCTGTCCACACAAGTCAGCTTTTAAATTCCCGAGCCTTTGCCCACATCAGCCCTTGCATTGGTAATAAGACGATAAGAGCCCAGATATAATATCTGGGAAGACACTACTGTGTGAGCTCTGGGAGCAGGGGTGAAATTCTCTCGCACCCGCGTGCCCTGTGCGCTCTGTCCCGGGAGTGAGGCCAGGACAGGAGAACGAGGCCGGCCGCCCCGTGTTAGGTTAGAGCCCCTCCTCCCATGTCGCCCCAGGACGTCACTGCCCCTGGGCGGAGGGCCCTCTCCCGGCCCTCCACGTGGGGCCCTCAGTCCTGGAGTCTGCACGCCCCCCCAGTGCTGTCGCCAGGATGAGAAGAACCTGCTGACTCCTTATGAGCTCCGTGACCTGGCTGCTTCCCTAACAGCCTTTGAGATGCCTCTTGAAAAGCTGCTGTTTCCCTGATACCCAACACTTGAAATTTTGAGGCCTCCTGGCAGAAGGGTGGCTGAGCCCGTGGGAATTTTCTTGGCCCTCTGACCCCCCCCCCAGTTCCCACCCCCATTCAGTCTGGCAACCTCTACCAGCAGACAGGGGCCGGGGGGGGGGGGCACTAGGTTGACGTGTCTCCTGAGTACATGGGAGGGACCCTTGCTTGCCTGTCACTCAGCCAGGGGGTTGAGCCCTCCTCCCCCCTTTTTAAACATAATTTTTTTGAAAAAAGAAGCACACGATCACTTGTTTGACGTCGGGCTTTACTGTGCCCCTGGCATGGGCGGTGGCTTTACAAGCACCAGCTGCGGCAGGCAGCCCTCCTGCTCTCAGGGGGGCCAGGCAGAGCTATTTGTCCCTTCATTGGTGGGTGGGAGTACCGGACGGAGGCATCGCCTCCCTGTCCCCGAGCTAGCAGATGGCGGAGGGGGGCCATCAGAACTGCATGGGACCCTGGCTGGTGTGGCTCAGTGCCCTGAGTGCCAGCCTATGAACCAGAAGGTCACAGGTTTGATTCCCAGTCAGGGCACCTGCCTGGGTTGCAGGCCGGTTCCCCCAGTTGGGGGCGTGTGAGAGGCAACCAATCAATGTGTCTCTCACACTGATGTTTCTCTCCTCCTCCCCTTCCCCTCTCTTCTAAGAAGTAAACACATAAAATCTTTAAAAACAGTTCTGTAAAAAGAATTGCATGGGAAGCACAGGGTCACCACTCCCTTTGCCAGTGAGGAACTAAGGCCCTGATGGGGTAACTCCCAAGACCTCAGGGCTCACTAGAGCCCTGACCCGCGGAGGCTTGATCTGGGCCTCTGGGCCCCCGAGGAGCAGTCCCCGAGGAGGTGTCAAGGGACACAGAGTAAACCCCGTCCTGCTTTGGGGGGAGGCGGTCTCCGGGATCGGTCTCACACCCCTCCAGCCCTGTCTCTGGTGCCCCATTTCACAAGCCGGCCAGTCCCCTGCCACTCGGCTGGGGGATCACACGGCTGCCCCGGTTCCCCGGGAGGCCGAGGGCAGGAGCACTGGGCTGGCTGGTGGGGCCCCCAGGACTGTCCCCACCTGTGGGTGCTCCCCGAATCCTGGCTTTTCTCTCTGAGCAGCACCATTCAGAGAGGTCTCTGCCGTCCGGAAGGAGAAGTAAGGACAGTACGTGCCTGCGCCTGGCTGGGTGAAAAGGGACCCTCCCTGAAAAGACTGTCCTGCCGCTTGGGTGGTTTGTTCTGCACACAGGTGGGCAGGTGCCCCCCCAAACCTGTCTCGTGTGGGAGATCGAAGGGGAGGAAGGCGGGACCACGCACAGCAAGGGAGTGGGGCCTCTCTAATCACAGCACAGCCTGGCTTTTTAGGAGAAGAGTGTTTCTACTTTGCTTCTCTGCTCTTTCTCTCTTTCTGTCTTTTGTCATTTCAAGTTGTCACTGTGACCTTGGGCAAAGTGCTCCAGGGCGCATCTCTATCCTTATCTGTGTGTGTGTGTGTGTGTGTCTGAGCCCTGCTTTGAACTGTATAAAACTGTTCAATTTGGATACAATGAAGCCAGATGTAAGCAACGTCAATCACTTTTACTCTATGGCCTCAGAACTCGTGGGATTCTCTCCTTCCTAAATGGCAATGCACAGTGTTCATTTATAAGCTTACTTTTTTACCTGGGTAAGATATCACCAGAAAAAGGGTGGTTCAAAAAAGAAGTGGCGTGTGTGAGTGTTTTCACTTTAATTAAGAGGAAAAGCCAAACAGGGTCCCGGAGTCTGCTAAGAAACAGGCTTCCTGCTCCCGAAGGAAGGAAACCGGCTTCGAGCCCGCCCGACGGGCTGAGAGCAGGATTTGGAGCGAGCATCTCTCGTTTCTTCAACCCAAGTCCATCTCTTCCAGGGTGTTCAGAACCGGCGTGAGACATTATGAAAGGCGTCCACCTGGGTAGGATTCAAAGTGGTTTTATTTTTCTAAATCGAAGGCAACTTCAGTTGTGCTAAGTGGGATAAATTATTCCGGCAACTTCTGCCTCTCGGTTGCCGTTTTGCGTGGGGAGACGTGGCCGCTGTCTGTGGAAGGTGAGGAATTGTTTCCACCACAGGTTTTCTGGGCCAGAAGAATAAAAGGGCCGGGAAGAAATGATGCACATTGTCGATCGTCTCTGTGTTTTTCCCAACGACGGTGGTCCCCTTTCTTCCCAGGCAGCCCCTCCCCCCGCCTGTGGGCCTTACCCCTGCCCTGCCCACCCCCGATGAGCAAGGTGTCTGGCTTAGACTCCCACAGGTGAAGGGGGCGCAGGAGGGCAGGAAGGAGGGCTGGGGGAGCAGGGCGGGGTCCGTAAGCAGAATTGAGAGCTGACCTTCAGCCAGAGGCCAGAGGCCACCGGCCCAAGGGGAGGAGGGTCTGGAGGTACCTGCTGCTTCTTCTTTCTGGTGCGGAGTCAACGTTCCCAGTGAAACCTCCCCTTCGGGGCACTTTAGGGAATGATTATGTGAACTGCAATGACTGGTGCTGTGAGTTTTTAAAAGCTTTACTTTCTTTAAAAAAAAAAGATGAGTTTGTTGGAAGCCTTTCCTGGAGGCAGGCAGGAAAGACACTGAAGGAGCGATATTGTAGGTAAAGTTATTGCCGACGGTGGTTTTCTGATGGCTTATTTTTACCCCTACATTTTGTTCTGTTTTTCCCAACTATATGCAGTAGCAGAAGGACGTGGTTTTCTGCTCTGTCCTCCGTTCTCCCAAGTGCTTTGTGCAAGGGTTCAGAACGATAAATGGATGCATACGCAAGCTGGCTGGGTAACCCCAGTTTTCTCTGTGGCTTCCCCGAAAGCCCCCATGGTGCTCTGAACCCCCACCCTGTCCTTGAAGTTTTCATACTGGTGGCCCTGATACAAGCTGAAGGTTTCCAGCCCTTCCCAACTTCCAAAATGTCTCCCTCCCCACGCCTCCTGGGTTTCTCCCTGTCTCTCTGTTGGCGTGGACCAAACACCCCCTGCGCGGGCTGATTTATGGTTGCATTAGGGAAAACTCCACAGAGGGTATAAAATACAGTGTACCGTGCCTGAGCCCCATCTTACGTGTTATCAGTGATTGCAAGTGCGTTTTATAACCCCGGTGCCAAATCGAAATCAAGGTGATTTGCGCATCAATCTCTCAGATACGATCAGGGCATGTTCTGTTGTGCTTGACCTTTGTGGTGCCTTTGGCTGGTCCGACTTGTCTAAGTCCCTTGGACAATTGCTCAGGGAAAGATGGAAAATTCAGCAATAATGGCCAGTGTGGGATTACCTAAAAGCTTCACCAAGATAGATGATAGATAAATAGATAGATAGATAGATGATAGATAGATAAATAGACAGATAGGCAGATAGAACGCAACTTGGCGTCTGAGAAACCCAGGCCGCTGGCCTGGCGGGGGGTCCCCGAAGCTGGTGTCCCTTGCTCTTTGTCTGTACCCCTGACCTCTCGAAAATCTAGAAAGAAAAATGTTGAACTTTATAAAGCTTGGGCGGCTGGCTGGGCTCAGACTGCTCAGAGAAGTAACCGAGTTTCCAAAATGACGGGAAGAGCCGAGACGGGCTTGACACCGGTGGTACTTGTCCTCTCGCCGCCCGACCTGGGTTCCCCGTGTCGATTTTCATAGGAAAGGGTCAGGGGCTTCCAGACAATGCTGTCTCCTTCAGGAAAAGTTCAGATCTCACCCCAAAATGTCGAGGGATATGCTCCCAAGGGCCTAGCAGGCAGGGTTAAAGATATTTTGAAGGGATCCGTGGAAATTATAGATTTTTAGAAGCCTAAGGTTCTGGAGGGATGGTCAGAGGGTATATTTAAGGTAAATATTTTTAAGTCAGGGTTTTATGCCTATAATCTGAGCTTCTCAACTTATATTTAGCCCAAACTTCTTTTGAAAGCAATTCCGTCTCTTTTGATTCTGCGCCCTTTCATAGTCCCGGGGGAGGAAGCTGGGCTGGCTTTCTAATGGTGAGGGCTGCTTTGCAAAGCCTCTAAGACATGCTAATGTGCATGGGCCGATTATTAAGATAAATGCCTTGTGTTGGAAACTGGAGTTAATTATAATATATATAATTAGTTGCTGGTCAGCCTAGAAGTTATAATTTATTGTTCCCTAATTTGCATTTATTATCAAAGATATTTAATTTGAAGGAATTACCAAAAAAAATAACCCGATTTGAGTGGTTATGGAGATGGTGGGATGGTGGGCATTTAGCAAACTTCAAAACTCCTTTTTTAAAAAAAAAACGTTTCTGAACCCATTATACACAATTTCAGGAAATAACACAGCGGCATCAGGAGAAGACTTGGGCCCGATGATTAAAATACAGGAAAGCCATTTTTGCAAGAAGCAGCGGTGCCGTTCTGGCTTGCAGACCCTGCATTTCGGAGCATCAGGTGAGCCCTTGAGCTGGGAGGGCCCAGGCCCAGGAGAGGGACGGAACTCGTGTGATAAGGTTTAAGGTTGCCCTTTGTGCCTGCCCTGTTGAGGGGAGAGAAGACAGTGAAACACAGGTGGGCCCCCTTTCCCCGGATGGCAAAAACGAGACCCGCAGCGTGTGACGGACGGAGTTTCCATGTCCATGCAGATTCTGGTGCTGCCCTTTCTACAGTGTGTTTGCAGAAAGTTCCACTTACTTGTCAAACATATTGCTTCTCTGTGTTCTTTTTCCTTTTAAATCCGCGTCCTACCTGGTTATGGTGCTGGGCTGCTTCAGCTGCACAACAGTAAGCGATTTTTGGGCAACCCCTTGCCTCTGAACTCAGTGTTAGGCCTCAGTCCTCCCGCCTCCCAGGCGGCTTCTTTTTAATAAACGTGCCACAATTTGACTGCAGTGAGTTGGCGTGAAGTGTGTCCGCAGGAGATGTGACGTCCCTGGGCAGTCAGATTTTCCCGTGTCGAGGGGAAGGGACCGTCCCTCCATCCTGGGCTCTCATTCCTAAGGATGCACTGTCTGGTTCCCACGCCTCTGATGCAGGTCACCCGGCAGCCTCTTGGACGTGACTTTCGAGCTTGCAGAGGCTGAGATCGGGATGCGGCTCCCTCCACTCCCGCTTCAAAGCGGGTGTTTGGTCCGTGGCTTTCAGAAGTGGGAGCAAGGCACAGTCAGCTGGAGTGTGACTGGAGTTTTCCCTGCGGACAGAAGTTCTGCTCTCTTAGGGGAGGAGAGGTTGGGCTGAGGGTGGGGAAAGGATTCTTCAGGGCAAGACCTCAAACCACCCTCGTGGGTTCCCCAGGGACCTCCCAGGTGACATGGAGCCCCATGGGACACCTCCCAGTCATTTTTGCAAAGGGCTGGTGGGTTCCCCCTGCTCAGGAAGCCCCAGTGTATCATGTACCAAGGGGGACTTGCATGCAACCTGGGGTCTACTGACTGCAGAGAACTTCAAAACAAATACCAGACACACGCGGTCTCCCTTCTGTAATCACCATGGGCCAGCAGTTCTAATGTACAAGGTTAAGTTCTGGTGAGCTGCCACCAAGGGTCTGCCAGTGACACGCAGATCGACTCCGTGTGGGGGTCCAGATCCCCATTTCCACGCCAGGGTGCCATTCCCCAGCCACTGAGAACCTTGATCGGCAATGGCTCAGAGCTGCCACCCTCCCTCGGGAGGGGCCCCATCGGGAGACAGCGCGAGGGACAGTCCACCACTCAGACTCTGCGCCTCTGTGAGGCCAGGCTCCGCCCTGGCTCCAGACCACGTCCTGGCTCAGCCCCTCTCCTGTCTCTCTGCTCCCTCCCCGCCTCCAGCGTCCCCCCAGCAGATCCCGTGCGTTCAGATTCCCATCTCGGGCAGTGTCTCCACGGAGCCCACCCGCCGCCGCGTGGGACGCAAGGCGGCCTCCCGTTTCCCCAGGTCCACCTCCGGTCCAGGTGTCTAATTTCTTCCTCTTTGCCCGCAGCTGCCAAACGGGCTTCCGATACCGCTTTGGACCTTCCTGGTGCGTTCTGTGTCATCTGTGGAGTGACAGAACTCCGTGGTCCCCTGAGGGTGTTGGAGTTTACTTCTCAAGGGCTCTGTTTGGAGGCCATGGCCAGCCTCTGGGAACAGGCTAGTGTGCGTTTGGCGGCCAGAGAGATCTGGGTTGAGTCCAGGCTGCCCTTCACTTCCTGGGCAATATCAGGCCAGGGAGGAAGCCCGATGCCACCGTCACCCTGCTGGTGACACAGAGTCAGTGTGGTGCCCAGGAGCTCTGGTCCAGAGGCCCTGTGTTTGGTCACTGTCCGATGCAGTGGGGGTGGGCGGGCCAGCAGCGCTGGGGGCAGTCCCGGCTGCTCACAGAATGGTAGCAATGGAGATGATTATCCTGTGGATCAGATGATGAAGATGATAATGACAATAATGACAGCAACAAGGTCAAAGGAACACATGTAGATAAGAGAGGGCAGTAGACCAACTGAATTTCCAGAGATTCTTCCCCAAAGGCACCTCTTGATGAGAGAAAAGAAAGAGAGAAAGAAAAAAAAAAAATCCGAACCTTAGGTTCCTGGAAGGAGCATGTCTTGGAGTCAGCAGACCTCATTTATCTGAGCCTTGGTGTGCTCGTCTGTAAAATGGGCCACGATGTCCCATGAAAAGAGATCGTGGACACAATGCTCAGCCCCGTACCTGGTGCGATAGGGCCCAGCAGGTGTCCGATGGTCAGAAGAAGGCCACGTCTCAGGAGGGGACTGCAGGGTGACACTGGGAAGTGGCAGGGCGTGGCAACTCTAGCAGGAGTGTGTCAAGGCAACTTGCAAGAGCTCCCGGGACACAGCCATGGCCATGTTGGCTCTTGTGACGAGGTCTTGCTGCTTCCTTGAGTTTGCCGTAGCAGTTTCTCTGCCTCCCAGGGTTCTCTGCCACTTCCAGGCCTTGTCTTCACTCCTTTGGCCTCCTTCTCCTGAGAGTCAGCTCCCCGCACAGTGCCCGGGAGGGCTGAGATGTTACTCTGTCATTCACTGGTGCACTAGACCCTCTAGACTAGGGTTGAGACACTGAACCTTATCAGAAGCCAGGCCCGAATATGACAACAATTACACTCATTAGTTGCCATGAGGCCATAAAGTATGTCCTTTCCCTGCTCTGTGGCTTTGGAAGAACCACCTCCCCGCTGTGGACTTCAGCCATGTAGCGTATCAATCAAACCAGCCCTGCTTTACAGGATGGGCACCAAGCGATGGACTCCTACTGGATCTTTGAAATTTAAGGGCTGCAAGATTGATCTGAAAAGAACAACTTATGGAAATTTGGTTGGTCCTAGAAATTCTAGTAGAAAATGTTTCTAGAAAACATGCTGCAAATATTTTTTTCTTAGAAATTTAAATATACTTTTCCAAAGAAATGCGTGGATTAAGAAGTCAAAACTGATAATAATAAACTACTTATAAATTAATGGCACCATATACCAAAGCCTACAAGATGTGGCCAAATTAGTGCCCGGAGAACAATTTATAGCTGTGATGGATTTGTGAAAACAGAAGACTAAAATCATATGTTCTCCACATTCAACTCAAAAAGTTGGAAAACAAACACCACCGCTATTACCAATATACACACATGCACACACACACAGAGGGGAAAAAAACATCTTTCACTGATTTTTACACGGAAAAGTCTTATGACAGTGAGATAGATGTATCTGTACCGGGAGATTTTTCTAGAAGCGATCACCGATCCACACATTTTCCACGGATCAATAACATGTAATTCTATATGGCCCTCGGCAGAGGAGGAGGCTTGATGAAGGACAGAGTCTTTCCATCGTAATCAATCACGCTTTATTTTATCTAGACCATTTGGGGGGAAATGCCAATTGGGGAAGATGAAGGGAATTGTGGCGAGAGTGGGGAGCTCACCCTTGACCATGTGAAGCAGCATTTGCCCGGTGATGCAGTTTGGACTCTAGCGTATTGTCCCATGTGAAGACACGAAGTCGTGAGTGTCCGTGCGGGGACGGAGGACTGTCAGCCAGCCGCCGGGATTTCCAGGGACAGAGGGAGTCGGGGTGACAGCGTGCTGACTTCCTCATCTCCGTCTGTTAGATATTTATTCCGATGACTCCTAGGAGCACAGAGGCTGAGCTCCCTGTTGACGTCATCCAAACAGCATGCTGGTGTTGGGAGACCGGTGGAAAACCTCACCTGGGTTGTGGCAGAGCAGCATTCAAACGCCACTTCTTCAGGTGGGACCCGACTCTGGTCCTGTTCACAACAGCCACTCAGAGAAGGGGGTCAACCCCCCTGTCCTGTGTTCTCTGCACCCTGGACAGTGCCTGCACTTGCCCTCCTGGCCAGAGGGAGGAATCAGGAAACGGAATGCTTTCCAGCACAAGTTTTCATCCCGTTCAGGGGGCAGCTCTACCACACAGGTCACTGACCAGTCAGAGACCCCAGGATGGCTACGCATCTGCCTCTGAACTAGCCACGCCCCCACTGGGTATTGCATTCTTAAACTGAGGTGTCCAGACAAGGTCTCCACCAACTTATCCAACCTCCGGAAGCTCTGCTGTCTGTGTCTTTGACCTGTCAAGTGTGTAAAACGTCTTTGTCTGTTCAGGCTGCTGTAACAGAATGGCACAGACCGGGTGGTTCATGGTCAGGAGATACTTCTCACAGTTCTGGAGGCTGGAGGCCTCTCCTGGTTACTAGTTGTTTTATTGTATCCTTCTGTGGTAGGAGCACAGAACCCCGGGTCGGGGCATGGCTGCGGGAAGGGAATTTGCTGGGATCTTTTTTGTAAGGGCACTAATCCCATTCATGAGGGTTCCACCCTCAGGGCGTATCCCCCCCCCCACCCCGGGAGGCCCCACCCACCTCCTACTATTATCACCTTGTGGGGGGGTTGGGATTTCAACCTGTGCATTTTTGGAGGACACACTACTGCCTCTGTGGTAAGTGTCCCTTCAAGAAATTGTGTGAAGCATTTAGATTCATGCCTGGTTTAGGCCAAAACTCAAATTAAATGATAGCTCTGTGTGACTTACCCCCTTTGTGCCAATTTACTTATTTGCAAAACAAGATTAACAGTACCCATCACAACCTACTTGGGAAGGGAGTTTAAATATAGAAGACTGAGTCATACGAAAGAGTCCCTATTTGACTGCTTTTGACCTCTACAAACAGCAGTTCCACGTGGGCTGATGTATGAAATGTGGTATGTCAATTCATATCTGCGGAGACTCGTAACTAATTGTAAATGTGAACTGTTACTTTATTTCCTCCTCATTCCCAGTTCCACAGGTAAGGCACACCTCAGAGAAGGAACGGGCCCGGAATTATGCTCCCCCTTTTTGTTTATTTTATATTCTTCCCCTTCTCTCCCCTCAACTTGCCCGTAATCATATTTCACAGGGCTCGGTAGGGCTGAGCTCTGATCGTCAGAAATAGCCCATAGAAGAGAGCAGATATGCTATTTTCTGGGTTAAGTTGTTAATTGATTTGATAATTGCCTGTGTGTGTCTCGGAGACACACACAGACATACACAGGCGCAAAGCCAATGTCAGGCCACGTACTTCTCTTGACAGTAAGATGAAGATGTTTCAGTTATTGGAACCGAGATGTCACCTAGAAGAATCAGAAGAGGGACCGGAAAAAAGAGGGGGGTGGAGCCAGCACAGCAGGGGGGCGGGGGGGGAGGCAGGCCATCCCTCTTGGTTATCAAGAGGAATGACTCCCCAAATATGACGATAAATCACCGCAGGAATCAATCAGACGGGAGGCCACTGTGCCACGCTGATAATGCATCAATCAATATTTAATGTTTACACTTTAATTAATCCACACTCGGGGAGCGTCTTTCAGTGACAAAAACAAAGAGATGAGAAATAAAACACCTTTTATATCGAGGAGCGGAGAGCACGCTGCCTGTCCGGGCGGCTTTGATCGGACCTGTCATTGACCACCTTGGGCCTCGGCAACCTCCCAGTCGCATTTGGGTGGAAAGCCAGGTGGGGGAGGGGCCCAGACGTGTCCCACTGCGGCGCGGGGAGAGGGTGACTTCCTCGGACCTGCCCCGGAGTATGGGTTCGGCAGGAGGCAGGACAAAGCCGGAATGGCTGTCGGATTCTGAACT